TGGAGGTCACTTAGAGAAGGGGCTCAAAAGAAGCCCTCTGCTTGGACTGCTCCCTGGGCTCGGGGAGAAGGTCTGTCAGGAGAGACTTTCCTGGAAAGAGGTTGCCCCTGTTGGTCACTTTTTGTGTAAAAGCCTGGAGTCATTTCGCCTCTCATAGATTTGTTAACACTGATAGTTGATGACAACACCCCTGAGGGGACATCAGAACATATCACCACCATCTGAGGACCAAGGGGGCTTCCTAGACATTAGGCTAAAGCAACAGGTCTTTTTTGCTCAGGTGCTGTGAGCCTGCAGTGGTCAGTCTCCAGGAGGCTCCCCTTCCTTGACAGCCAGCTCTGGAGAAAAGCCCAGGGGCCCAGGCCCCTCAGAACTGATGGAGAGGCTCTTTACAGGCAGGGGGAGGAGGTATTTGGGAAAGCTGGGAGATCCCTAGCCTACTTCTGACTGCACCCTGGCCAGGAGTCATGGGGGAAAGGAATCCTTGGTTCTGGAATAATACATTAACCACCTCCTCCATGCCAGGCACTGTGCTAAGCACTTTACATCCATTATCTGATATAATCCTCTCAACTATTCTGCAATGTAGGGATTATTAGTCTTATTTCTATGGATGAGGAAACTGTGGGTCAGGGAGGACAGGTGACTTGCCCAAGGACATAGAACCTGTAAGTGGGGGTTTCCTGATACAATAAGCTATGCAACTTTTCATTTATCAGGCAAATGAGGGCTCCATTGGGGGATTTCTGGGCTCTCACCTTTATGTTTGAGTCCAGTAACCCCAGGTCTTTGGTTCTGGGGAAGGATGTGATGAGATACTAGAGGGGAGGCGGAAGGCGCCCCTCTCCAAGGTCTGGGCACACCCCCAAATGCTGGCTCCCCAGCCTGGTTGTCTGGGCTCTGGAGGTGAGTCAGGCTGAGTCAGCTCACCTGGCTTCAGGCAAGGGCAGGCCAATGATGCTCAGAGCCTGGGCTTGCCTTCAAGAGTTGGAATGTTTGGTGCCAAGGAGAGCAAAGAGCCTGGGATGGCAGAGGAGGAGGGTGACAGGCTCTATGGTGGGGCAGATAGTACCCCACACTTGGAACAAGACAGACC